ACGTTGTAGTGGGTCTTAGTAGTGGAGTGGAGGGCCCTCGATATATCATCGAACATATCCTCCACTTCGTCGTCCGAGTGTGTCGAGGTCAGTGCGTACACTTGCACCACCTTGAGGCTATACCTCTCGGTGAGCTTTATAATAAGGTACACTACCCTATTCGACACGCTGGACATTTCCACCACATTATCGGCAAGGGACTTATTTACCAAAAACCCAACGCCACCTTGGGACTGTTGGTCACCCCCGCGGAAGTACATTAGGTGGCCCGATTCGAGGGTTATGGTGTCCTCCCCCTCTCTTCGGACTTCGCTTAACCCTAAAATATGCCACCTAATCTTTCCAAGTTCCACCTCGAGTTGCGTCAGATGCGAGTCAAGCCGTAGCGTGCGTCCGTTGTACGTCGCCAGGGTCAGTCTTTTGTGGTGGCCTCCCGTAGCCCGGAGATTCTTGGCACCCCCCGCCCCACCGTTACCGTGGTCGCCACCGTGACCAGGAATAGCGGGGCTGCCGGGAACTGGGGGCCGTGGCTTGTGTTTTTTGTGCATAGAAGGTTTTGCCCATAATCGCCACGCTGGGCAGGCGGGTTGGCGATCGCAGAGCGTAGGTTTATTTACTGATGACGCTGCTGCCCGTCACCAGTGAGATTTTCCTCCCCTACGTCGTTAGATGGTTATACCGCCATCGGTCGGTTTGCCAGAGCCTCGTCTGTTGGTCAACAGGGTGCACCACGTGAAGGTGAGGTTGGCTTGGGTTCTTGCAGGTGTATTTAGAACCCCTTACACCCCCTATTCAGTTTAAAAAAAAATGCACTTTAAGTGATTTCTCCCATACAAAAAATAAAAAATTGTGTGCGTCAGTTCCGACGCACGACTGGAGTTTACTCCTTAAGTTCGATAGTCTAACCAGACGCAAAAAGAGTTTATTTAACTTAAAAAAGATTGATACTGTATGAAAGTGTAAATTAACCAATTAATGAAAATAATACATATATAAATATATATTTATTCATTTCATATACATTTATTATAACTAATCGAGGAAATATTTTACATTAAACTTTTTACAATAGTCAATTTCAGATGTGCATAAATATATTATTTTAAGTTATTGTACATCTTAGTGTTTTTATTTGTTTTGTTACCTTAAGTCATGGTGGGCGATAACAGAGTCATGTTGTTAAGTTAAATATTTGTAAGGACAAATCTCAGTTTGTCCTTGGTGGGCGATTACGTATACGCCATTTGTGCATTTAAAATTTTAGTTCATATGTATCAAAATAGATGGCGCTGTAGTTCGAGCTACATATAGGCAAAACGTCACCAAATTAATAAAGAAATCTATAGTCTAACAAAATACACTGTAGTTTCAATTTACTGCTTTTGCACCTAAGCTCTCGGATTTAAGAGTCATTTTGGCTAGAACAGGATGCGCACCAAAAACGCAACGAGGTCATTCATCGATAGATTTAACTCCTCATATTTTTCTCATACCGGGCCCCTTATATATGCAAATCGATTCTTAAGGAGTAAACTCCAAAAACTTTTTTTTTCTCAGGCGTGGTACTGCTCATACCCTTCATACTATAATATTAAATAGAGGGAGGTATACTAAATACAAAACAATTTTTTTTTATTAATTTCAGTTATTACGTTTCTCTGAGTATGGAGCTCGATTTTCAGACCACTGTGTGACCACTGCGGCGCGGCGCAGCTAATTTAACTCGGCCATCGTCCAGTCTCGGCGGTGCGTGACGTGGCACTGCGTAGATTTGTCTTGCCAAGATTGGTTAGCGGCCGTGACGTTGTGTGCGTACGTCGATTGGGGCGCTAGTATGAAGTCAGAGTACTGCTCTTGTATGTATTGTGCCTCCACTAAGGAGATTGTGTTGCGATAGAAACATAGTGACCATGATTCTAAGAATTTTCTTTGTGCTACTTTGTGTAAAGTGAAAACCACTTCGTTGAAATAAATACTGTGCAGCAACCTTACACCTGCAGTGTAAGTTTATAAATGCCCAGGTGCAGTTGAAGCGAATCGATTCTTTAAGCTTCTATGACATATACATAGTAGAAGATCCGAACCTTCATCGACCTTCACCGAGCTGATAAAAGAATGACACATATTTTATCATGACTCTAGTATATGACATTTAAATAGTATATTAAAAAAGGGTTGCCTAAAAAAATGCTGGATAGACTATATTTAATTAATATAAAAAATATGTTTCTAATTAATGTAATAAAAAATACATTTATAAAAGACGACATAGATTTGGATGTTAGACCAATAAGTAAAGTAAAGGTGAACGCAGACTTGGCCGCACCGCAGTCCCCGCAGTCATCGCTTTGTGTTAATGGCCTCGCACATCTATCCGCACCGCAGTCACTGCAGTCGTTCCCGTCACCGCACGTCATCCGCGCCGCGCTAGCCGCAGCGTCCGCTGCGTGCGGTGCCGGTGTTGGTGACGTCATCAGCTGCGGCTTGGGTAGGGACACGAAAAAAGTATCGATACTTTGTGGTATCGAGTACTTTTCCTTTCGATACCGATACTTTTGTACTCGATACTTTGTATTCGATACTTTTACTAAATGAGTACTTTTTGGCAAGTATCGATACCTTTAAAAATTTAGATAAGCGCCTCATACTGATGGCAACGCCATCTTGTCAAATCATAGCAAACCTTCTAAAACGTTCCATAGGGTATTTGATAAGTTTTAGGCAACGATCTCACGTTATTGTCTAATGTTTATGGAGTCCATAAAAAGTGGATATTCATCATTCTGTTGTGTATTTCAGTAAAAATAACCAAATCAAAAACTCCATTTTCAAGTTGCCGCGAAAACGTTTCTCTGGATAATATGGCATCTTACTAGTGTGTGACGTCACACGACTGTTATTAAAACGTCAAACGATACAATGTAATGTCACTTTGACCAGAAGTTTACTTGCGTGTGACGTCATTTTAGGCTCCGCCAATCCGAAGCGTTTTGGATCACGTGACAATAGATAAGAAAACTAATATCTTTTTCGTTATTTTGGCACTTTATTTTTAATACTGTCAAATGACCCATTGCGTTGTTATAAAGTCAGTAACTGACATATTCAAATTCTTTCCAATCTGTGACTGTGTTTATTTTGCGCTTTGTTTTGTGTCATAGTTATTTATTTAGCCACCATATTGTTAGGAACTGTGATTGATTCGCCGTTTATTGTGCTTTTCGCTTGACTGTATTTGATTTATTCAAGTGTGACACTATTATTCTGTCTGTGCTGTGTATACTTATTTGAAACCACCTGAAAAAAAGAATATTAATGAACACTTTTTTAGTGTCAGAAATCACAGCTATTTTCTTTTCATTATATAATATAGCAATTTGTGAATTTACATGTCCTTTTTTTGTTTTTGATTATACGTACTAAAATAAAATTCGATTGTTTTTCTTTCAATTTTAACACGGGGGGAGGGGGGGGGGGTTGCTCATCAGGCCACAGAGGCTCCGATAAGACCCTATGAAATGTACTCGATACTTTGAAGTATCGATACTTTTGTTTCGATACTTTTACGAGTACGATACTTTTTTACCGATACTACTCATGAGTACAGTATCGATACTTTCTATTCGATATCGTGTCCCTAGGCTTGGGGCGTTCGGTCGTTTCAGGGACTGAGGCGCGTGCGGTGCGGCCAAGTCTGCGTTCACCTTAAAGCAACTTCTTTTTACTATCATAAGGTGCCTTTCTCACCAGACCGTTGCGTTTTCGTTTCTATACCGAAACTGTTCGTTTCTATACTGAGACCGAGAACCACTTCTCAAGCGTTTCGTTTTGTTTGACACGGTATTTGTCATTGGTTATAATACCGTCACGCCCGGGCGGGCGACTCGAATGTTTCGGTAGGATTTGATACAGAGTGGTGTGAATGCGCTAGGTAAAGAACATGTACCGGAACAGCTCAGTGAGGAAGCTCTTACTTGCTTACATGGACTCAGTAAAGAATCTGTACAGAAATTCGGTACAGAAACGAAAACAAAATGAAACCCGATCCGATGAGAAAGGCGCCTTAGGTCGAACTCTTAGAGAATTTGTAAATAAATGTTCTAAGATCGGACTATAAAGCTGTCAACAAATAATCTATGGAAAATTCACTGTACGCAGGAAAAAAAACGTACACTGTTTATATTATTTGTTTTCATTTGAACAGTTACGTACATAAATAATTTTTCAGTAGGTAGCACATGAGTAAAAACGTGGTAGGTATTTAGCTATAAAATAAGTTTTCATCTCACACTCACACAAACACTCATCTCTTTTCTCGAAGACACTCCAATTTTTTATGTAAACGCTCATGCAAAGACATCGAAAATCGTACGAAGTTCGCTGGGTCAGCTAGTGAGTCTATAAAAATAAAGCAAGAAATTCTAATACGTAACTTAAAACGACAAGTAACTTATCAGTAATCCAATCGAGTCTTTTTTCTTTATTTATTGTTCCCTCTACCACGGAGCAAACTCAAATTTTCCTTATGCTGAAATACAGCACCAGGCCTCAGATCAAATAAAATTTATTATTTTCCCCCAATTGTCCCCCCAACACTTAAAAAAATCCCCAAAATTTTGGAGGAATCTCCGCAATCTGGTATCAGTGAACAAAAACGTGACACCGGTTACAAGTACTAATTGTTGTTCGACTAACATATTTGGGACTAGTTTTGTTGTACCCGGCAGTACCCGGCAGTACATGGCAGGTTTAACCGATTCCACTTTTTTGTTTGCAGCGTTCCATCTATACTTTTTTATTTGATCTAAGCATTAGGTATAATGCCATATGCCATACCCAAGATGATTTATAAAAAATGATCTAAATTTTTCTTTTCAAAGCATATTCAATTCAAGCAGATTAAAGTTTAATTTAAAAATAATAAAGCTTCTTCTAAAGTCATTTACGAACATTATAGTTCCTAATATCTCATCATACTAAATACACAGGTGGAGTGCGGACTTCTCTCAATGAAAAACTGAATTTTGTCGAAATTTCGTACGTTTCTTACTCCGTTTTTATTTCTTTTCGAATAATCATTCTCCAGAAAATAGTTTGACGTTTAAATTTTGGCTAGCTGAAAAATTTGAAAGTTCTCATTGCCAGTTGTTTTTCCAGCAACAGTTCCTTTGTAAATCCTGTATTCTTTTGTCATGTCATCTTATCAGTCAGTCAACGTCAGCCAGTTCCCGTCGGGATAGCGTTCGGTGCAGACATGCCAGTGCTTCTCCCCTGCTCTCACACAGCGTCGCGAAACATTTGCGATTCGGAAAAACTTTTCTAAATTAAACTTTCAAAATCGTACTTCAACTGTTAATAAATCGACGATGTCGTCAGCGGAGATTGCATCGAAAATGTTTTTGCGCGAAAACGAAACATTGAACGACTTTTTTAATCGTTGCAACAATTTGTCGCACTTCGATTGTAGTGAAGAAGAGATGTTGTGGTGGATGATGGGGTCCAGACGGTTGCCTTTGAAGGAGATAGTGCCGATCAGTATTGTCTTGGTGGTGATATTTCTCACGGGTGTGGTGGGCAATGTGTGCGTGTGTGTGGTCATCGTGAAACACCCGGGCTTGCATACGGCCACCAACTATTACTTGTTCAGTTTGGCTGTCAGCGATTTGCTGCTTTTGATGTTCGGTGAGTGTTTAGAATGCAGTTAGTTCCTTTTGGTGACACCTTGCAAATACAGTTTTCGGTTAGTATTTGAGAATCGGGAGCTGTGTTCAGGTGTTGTTTAAGAAACTCTAAGGAATAAAAAACCGCAACTTCGTGTATGGTCTGTTTAAAAACAGCGGTGCATCTGAAATTAATATTACATTACAGCGTAAAGGAAAAACCGTGTTTCTACCTCATTTTAAGCGTGCATCAAGGCAGAAAATTTACAGAATCCATAGGTACGTCGGTACCTAATAGTACAATGACTGTGATTATTGATATTGCTTAATTACAGTTAATATTTTAAGGTTAAATATTTATTTCATCGTCACAAGATTTTTGTCCATTATTATACTCTTTATTGCATCATACAGTTTAAAACGTATAGTCAAATACATAGTAAACAAAGGTGGGCTTATCTCTAAAAGAGATCTTTCCATCTTAGGATGTCGCATAAAATTATTGTTATAAAAAACAGACTTTAATACCAAGCATCGGTGGTTCAGTGGTAGAAAGCTCGCCTGCTACGCGGTCGGCCTGGGTTTGATTTCCAGTCGAAGGAATACTTTTTTTATTAACGATTAAAAAATCCTCTTTCGACTGGAACTCACATCGTGGTCATAATTTCATTTTTGATCATAATTAGTGCAAAAGCTTTTATATTATCGACAGTCGAAAGCATAATTGCTTAAACGCCACTTTAGTATTTTTACAGAAACGAGTATCAATTTTTTTTTCACAATATAAAAACACAACTCTTTGTTAATGAGAAGTATCGCCTTAAAAATAAAAACATATTCATAAAATGATATTTTGTAAATATCCTTCTATTAAAAAGTTACATAGTGCCTTTACAAATTAGATTTCGCTTCATCGTTGTGAACAATAGAAATCTTCAAAACCTTGAGTTGCTTAAGCACCAAAAAATAACTCAAATTTTCACGAAATATAAACACATCGAAGCAGAAAAAAATTTGATTCAAATGATATACATAACTCAATTTCGAACAATGTGGAATCCGTACAAACTTGTAGTTACGCAACATAAACGGCCGTATCTTTTTTTAAGTTACCTTAGAAGTTTGTATTTTTAAAAAAGGATCTTAGGTTGCCTTAGGCTCTTAGTATATGGTTTGAATTTTAACTCGATACTCACGCGTTCCTGAGATAAAGGGTCTTGACACAGACAGACGGACAGCCAGAAGGACAACAAAATTATCTTTTAAGGGTTTCGTCTTTCCCTTTTGAGATACGAAACCCTAAAAACTAATTTCAGTCAGTTAGCGCTTACTTTCTTTAAAAGCGTTAATCTGTACATCCAGAAATCCGTATCTGTACAGCAGTGTTGAATTATTCATCTAGTTTGAAAGCGAACCAAAAATAACATTTTACCATCAGGAGCACTTATCAACTCACATAGGTATAAAAAATATTGCTTTTTTATGTAAATACTAGCTGACCCAGCGAACTTCGTACCGCCATAAAAAAATTTAATTAAAAAAACATTGTCCAGCGGACAAAATTGTGAATCTAAACCATTCTCAGATCCCCTTGAACACACACAAAAAATTTCATCAAAATCGGTCCAGTCGTTTAAGAGAAGTTCAGTGACATACACACTCACAGAAGAATTATATATATAAAGATGGTGTCATTATATGGCCCGCTTGATGCCAAGTGGCTACCAAGGCTAATAGCTTACTAGCTGTGCCCCGCGGTGTTCCCGCGGTTTATTAGGGGTGTTTTCCCGCAGTAAAACGTAGCCTATGTGTTAATCCAGGGTGTCAGCTAACTCCATACCAAATTTTATTAAAATCGCTCCAGCCGTTTAGACGTGAAGAAGTAACAATTATAAACACTCACAAACTTTCGCCTTTATAATATTAGTGTGATTAGACATCTTGTGTTGTTTTTCTGGGAGCGTGTAGGTATGATGTTAGGTTAGATGGCCCGTACAACGCACAATAACAATGATTGCTATAATTAAGTACCTATATTGCATGCAGCGGTCGATGACGATCTTGCAGAGGTGCGGTCGGACGATCTTGACAAGGCGAGTGCGACATTGTGACAAAATCATTATTTGCTAAACGCCGTCGAATATGCTACGGCCTTGGGATAACCATGAGCCTTAGAATGTCTAGTTTTTCAATCAAAAAGCCATAGAATACGTTAACTGCCATAGCAATAGCAATGCGTACAAACCCTGATCGTATCCACGACCCCGTGGAGTTATGGGAACCATTTCTTTTTAACAATAAAATAATAGTGTTTTTTAATTGGCTGTCTTTATAAAATAAAGGTTAGGTGATAACGGACCCAGCGCGGATTGGTGGGTGATAATGGACTCGGTGCGCATGGGACGGTGATAACGGACCCAGCGCGGATTGGAGAGTGATAACGAATACAGCGCGGATTGGTGGGTGATAACGGACCCAGTGTGGATTGGTGGATGATGATGGGTGATAATAGACACAGTGCGGATTGGAGGGTGATAACGAACCCAGCGCGGATTGGTGGGTGATAACGGACCCAGCGCGGATTGGTGAGTGATAATGGACCCAGTGCGGATTGGTGAGTGATAATGGACCCAGTGCGGATAGGAGGGTGATAACGGATCCAGCGCGGATTGGTGAGTGATAATGGATCCAGTGTGGATTGGTGGGTGACAATGGACCCAGTGTGGATTGGTGGGTGATAACGAACCCAGCGCGGATTGGTGGGTGATAATGGACTCAGTGCGGATTGGTGGATGATAACGGACCCAGTGCGGATTGGTGGGTGATAATAGACCCAGCGCGGATTGGAGGGTGATAACGGACCCAGCGCGGATTGGTGGTTTTTTTTCTATCAACAAATCTTCAGGTTAAGTTTATGATTTTCGTTCGAGTCGTGTGGTCATAACCACACTCGCTTTTTTTTATTTGATATGTAACAAATACCTCACCCCACGAGTCGTGATGTTCAGTGTAAATGGAGTCAAGTTTCGAAGATATGTGGCAGAAAATACAGAGGCAACTTTATCTAAAGGTACACACTGCAGGGTGTGCGTTGCCCACGGGCGGCAGCGGTCTCAGAGGGCGCCGAGCGTCACTCGCCACCACAGAACACAGATAAAGGTCAGAATACCTTGTGGGCGGGGCAGACAGTGTGAGCAAATACTCATAACTTGACCAAAACTTGGTTCGGATTGCGTCGTTGCTCTTGGGTGTGAGCGCTGATTGGTTCGATTGTTTGATATCGCGTCATTTGATTGGCTATTATCTATTAGGTGGAAGTGTAGTGAGGGCGAACCGGCGACATCGGTTCCCGTACAAACGGTCTATGAGCACCCTTCTGACCTCTTTCTGTGTTCTGTGCTCGCCACCATTACATTTTGACCACGTTCTTACTAGAGAGCTCTAGGTTAATTAGGAAATTATTGCACACGAGTGCTACAAGGATTAGAGACGCCCCCGAGAAAATAAATTCCTTCAGCTACCTTCCCTTAGCGACCTGTAGTGCAATTCTGTAAAACCCATAATCTCATCTCACTGTGTGTGTCGGATCCGTTTTGCTTCGCTCTCTAGGTTTCGCTTCACGGAATTTTCGCATTCTGTAACCAATTGTACAAGCAAGTGAAGCGAGATGTCATTTATATACTAAGTGATTTGTAGTGTTACCATTTTAAAAGTTTTTGGTAAATCGAGATATATCGACTTAGTTATTATGCGTGAAAAAAAGCACGTAAATTTATTCTTTAGATATATTTGTAGATATGAGGCTCAAGTTTAAAGTTTTAATGAATGTAAACTTAAAATAGTCTTATTTTTAAAGTTTGGTGACATGGACGAATCAGTGCTTACTCTATGCGCATCTCTGTAATCGAGTGGAAATCGACACTAACGCTACTAAGTGAGAGTGGCGGTTTAGTAAACTATCACAGGTGAGACCGTAACATACCTAAATGTCTTTGACGTTTCAATGGCATTCTGTAACGAATTTCAGCGCTTGTTTACACCTCACATTAAAAACCGCACTCGAAAGTAACTGTCAAAATAAAAGTTACTCATTAGCTGCGGTAATAGAAGTGATTGTACGAAGTGAGTATTTTTATAGACTATTATCATCATAAAACAAGAGTAATTATTAAATTATTTATAATTACGTTGCTTTTGTTTATTTAAGTAATAAGTCTTTAAAATTATGTCTATCTAGTATTTCAGATGACTCACTCTATTACTTGCTTTTTACTATAGAAAGCCCATGTATGATGTAGATTTGGCCAGAAGCAGCTTACAAGCCCAATTTCTGTGTAACCTTGAGTAATTTCATGTGAAGATGAATATGTGACTAAATAAAGATTTTTTTCAACAATTGGAAAATGATTTAAAGTATTCATTTAGAAGAAACCAAGTGTAATGGAAAAGGATTATCCAATAGAATGAAGGTAAAGTACCTAATTGCATAACAAAAATAAAACCCAACCAAGAAACTTTTTATAACAATTATATAAAAATAAAAAGTTTTTTTTTGTTTCAGATACTGTATACACTTTCATTTGTGCAAATGGGAGTTACTAAGGATAATAGGGCAAAAAATTACACACATTTATCCCAACCATCAATATCAAGACTTGTAAATGAAATTGCCACCTTTTTAAGATTTTATGTCATCCAGACATAGCAAAATGCATCACAATGCCAAGTGGTAAAGAATTGGTAAGTAAACTTTGATTCACTACAATTAAACAAATACTTGGGCAAATAGGTGTACAAAAGATATAATAAAGTAGACCCCCCGGTATAAATATTACATATAATTCAAGTAGAACAGTGTTTCTTAGTTTTTGCAATCCTTTACTTTAATTATTTTAGAATATTTTATGTGGGTAATAAAATTTCTATTTGTAGTTTATTTAAATTATCTAATACTTAAGTAGTAAATGCTAACAGAGCTATTCAGGACCACTATTTATTTAATTAATTTTTAATGCCTTTACATTACATATGGCGGTCTTAATGCCAGCATAGCATTCTCTACCAGTCAACCGGAAGGAACGAGAGTCAATAAACGATATTTAACTTTAGTTTAGACCAATTTACCTTTAAAAAAACTACTAGGTATATTTTTTTGGAGTTATTTTAATAAACTTTACTTTTGTTACAGTTTTTTGGAGAAATTTAAAATGCCTGCAGCTGTTGGTAGCATAGACTGTACCTTTATCACCATAATAAGACCAAAAGAACCTTTAGTAAAAAGCATAAGGCAACGGTGTTGTGTAAACATTAAATGTAGTAATATATAATGTATAATAGATAATGTTAATTGAATAAATATATTTTGATTTAAAAAATAGTCACTCATATTTTTAACCCTTCACCACAGTAAACTACAAAAGTAATGATTTTATTGAACTATTTCATCATCAGCCTATTCCTGCCCCCACTGTTGAGGCAGATGGAATAGGGAGACTGGCCGTGACCCACCTAGTAGTAGGACCTAGTGCGGACTGATCAGTGCTAAGGACTGCAGATGCAGCTGGGACCAATAGATTGACGTGTCATCTGAAACACGGAGAAGATCGAGATAATAAGTTTTTGGTCACCCATACAATTACCAAAAGTTACCTAACTTTCATGATTGCAGGACGAATACTCTAAGCACCTGCGTCTCCGGGCTCCTCTTTATTTAGATTGAACGTTTTAAATGTTCTACATAAAAACTAACTATTTAAGAATTAGTTTCAGTGTAGTTCCTATATTTAATATACATACCTACTTAATTCTGAATGATATATAATATAGACCGGCGAGTTGCGTAAACCCCCATTGCAATAAAAATGAAGATAAATTAATCAAAGGGTGATTATTTATAGTAAAACTCATTAAAATAAATATGTAACATTTTTATTCATAAATTATGACAGATGCCTTTGAAACTGTACATTACATTGTTACATTTTTGTCAGAGATGCTCGTCAGCCTATTTGCCAATTTTTATGTTTTTTTTTGTATATAAATAAAGAGAAAATTGAATATTAATCGATGCTTTTCTGAACAAGTATCTGAGTGGTGTTATATAAAGCAGTAGTAGTGGATCACTAAATAGCTCAGTGATTATTACTTCCATCTGTCAAAAGCAGTTGGCGAATAGGCCTACTGTGGTCTGCAGGTTGTAGATGAAGCTGGCGCAGTGACCACTTCTCATGAATATAATGTAAGCAGTCTAGCATCGCAACAATAGGCCGTGTGTCATTAGACAAATTTTAACAGAGATCTTTGTTGAGATGGAGGCGAAGCCTGCAAAGGACTTGTTGTGCGTGTTGCTGAAATAAAAAAACAATATATAAGTTGTTGAATAACAACAATAAATGTCACAATTATGATTGGGCCTGGGTCAGAATAAACTTATTAATGATACCTACTCTTTTTTTCTTTTAACACAAACTTTATGATTTTTATAAAAGTAAAGTATTGAGATAAGAAAATAATCAATATTATTACATTCTATTAATACGTACTTGGAGCACTATATTCTGAAATATTCACAACTACAAAATAACAATATGTACGAATCAAATTTTCTCTTATTCTCTTTTTACAATGACACTTATAAATAAATCCGAAAATATATAAAAAGAACATAAATCAAAAAATAATTAAAAGAACTTATTTTCTAATGTGCCAGTGCCTGCGAGCGAAATGTCCATAGACACTGGCTGTATTGCGACATGGACCAACGTTTGTGCGGTGAAAATAAAATAATCAAATTTTAATGCCAGTCAATTTAATGGTGGCTTTTCAAACAAGTGGTTAACATAGTATTACAAAAATAAAAACTACTGTAATTTACGTATACTTACAACATTTCGAAGAAATTAATGCCCTTTTCCTTCTTGTAAGATTAATGGGCGGTCTTGAGATCTATAATGTTTTCTACTCTACATGGTAAAATTATTTTAAAAAAGTATTTTAGATAATACACGAACAATTTTTAACCTAGAATAAAGCCCGTCACAGACGTAGCTATAATATATATTAATATGAATCATAGCAAGACATATTACAACATATTTTCAATATAAATTTT